TAACCCCACAGCCACCCTGACACTCACTGACAGACGACCCCTAACCTGCTGGGTGGAGATACAGCTGTCACCAAATATCAGCTGAAAAAAAATAAATAAACCAAAATTAAACAACGACTCTTCCATGAACTTTGACCCCCGTGCCCCCAGTGTCCCCTCCTTTCTAGACAGGTGCAGGGGATGTACTCTGACTCTGACCACAGATTCAGCAGCAGTTCCTATCCACGAGCTTCTGAACAACTCTTTATATCCTAGATTTAATTGACATCGCTGCTAAAATGGTACAATTCCAGTAGCGTATTTATCTCTGACTTCTTTTTTTCCAAAATATCTTTTAAATATCTTCTGTACATTTAATTTACTTTAAATTGATTATTATATGTTGATTTATTTTTCTTAGTAATTATCATCACTAAGAAATGATTTATTGTTTTGTTTGTTTTTCTCTGTGGTAATTTTGTGTGTGAAGTGAGCAGTTTGACCCTCTGTGTTCAGACACACTGACAGCATCTGCAGAACTGTGTATGTAGAACAGCTCATAAACTACATTCAAATATATTTACTGCAGTAAAAAACACAGTAAAAAGAACTCACTTTCAAAGGTTCCAAGTCAGAGCCAACATTTCTGGCTCTGACTCCGGGGTCTGTGTAGATTATCCAGGTCAGTCCACCAACAATGTAACTCAGAGTCACGACTGAGTGACACACACACACACACACACACACCCTGCAGCAGCGCTGACAATCCACAATAGCCCAGATGACCTAATGGGCCGACCATCATTTAATCCTCCCTCTCAGACACATGGCTCAGCGCTCACACACACAGAGAGACAGAGACAGAGACAGAGAGTGAGGGACAGTCGTCTCACCGCTCCGTCCATTACCATCTCTTCTTACTGGTATTAAAAAAAAAAGTCTTAAATCCTTGGTGAAGTCTCGGCTTCACTCAGACGCCCTGTGGCTACGGCAAAGACAGAGTTGTTTCTCCTCCTGTTCTGACCAGAACGACCACCGGTCAAACAACGGCCGCGTGGACCTTTGACCTTTCTGTGTTAGCCGACGCCTCATTCACGTTTCAGTCAGAAAATATTCTGCTTTTTTTGTAACTTGAAACTGTACAAAAGTGAGAGCCTAGGTCAGAGGTCACCAACTGTACTGGTCAGAGGGACAGACACCTTAAAGGGCCGGACACAATTTTTTGTCCAACTGAATGTCAATAGAGTCAAATGTAGTCGGTTCCATAGTGGAGCGGTTAGCAAGCCTGCCTGAGAAGCAGAAAGTCCTGGGTTCGATTCCCAGAGGAACCACATGCCTGGCTCCTGCAGGGGGCAGCCTGTCAACGGCATATCTGCTGCTAACACTAACTAAGAATATGAGATCAATACAGTTCAAATTATTTTATTAATGTTGTTGTTTATTTGCTTTAATATTAGAGAAAATATGACAACTATAAAATAAAAAACTGTATTTTCTCAGTTTTAGGATCCAGTTGCAGGCCGGATTGGGCGGTTCGGCGTGCTGAATTAGGCCTGCGGGCCGCCTGTTTATAACCACTGATCTCTGATCTTTAGTTCACCATAGGTGTGACGGTCAGTGTGAATGTACTGTAGACACCAGGCCCTGGTCCAGGCCCTGGTCCAGGCCCTGGTCCAGGCTCAACGTTTTCAAAACACATTTTTCTGAAAACCCCACATTAGTGGTGGGATTATGTGAGATTTTACCACAGGGATTAACCAGGAGATATTTTAAAAGCAGTCCCATAATCTACAGCCATATGGCTGCTGATAAGAAAAATAAACCACTGTGACATATTGTGACATATATTGTGACATATATTCTGTATAATGTACCACCTTATCACCTCTAATACTCCTAATCCAAGAAAAACATATTTGAACAAACAGATTATGAGCGACTGTCAAACACATGACATCAGACATGAGGTGGAGACAGAGATTAAGAATAAACATCACGTGTGTGTGTGTGTGTGTGTGTGTGTGTCTGCTCACCTTTCGTAGCCAGCCTCAGACACTGGGTCTTCGTTTCCTGAAGGAGGGGGAAAAAAAAAAGACACACAAAGGTCAACATGTTCGCTGGTCAAACAGTGAAAGGACAAAGTTCCCAATGTTAAAGATGAGTTCATGATGATATATTTACCCGCTCTGTGCTGCTAACAGCTTGGAGATAGATGTTGTAGTTCTTCCTCGGAGCCAGAGGGGGATTCCAGAAACCCTGAGGATTAGGAAGAGAATTCTCTGAACTTATTTTCCTGTAGTTTTTGTACAGTTATCCTCAGATTCACGCACGTTTCTTCTTTTTTTTTTTTACTAAATAACCAAATATGAAGACTATGTGTGCGTAGAGACAGACACAACTCTTACCTGGTACGTCTTGTTGTCTCCCACGGTGAAGGGAAGGGGCTCTGGGAGGTTACTGGGGGACATCTGTGCAGCGTAATAATACGGAGAGCCACCGCTGGACGCACTGTGGAAGGAAACTGGAACCTGGAGAACACAGAGGTCAATGTCAGAGGCTCTGTTTGGACCGTGGAGGTTCCAGTGATGGTGAAGAGCTGCTGAAGAGCGGGAAAACGGGAAACGTGCAGCAAAGGATTAGGATTTACCTCAAAGCAGTCGGAGGAAGATTGGCGTCGAGTCCGGTGAGGATTCACTTCCTCCACCACGATCTGGTACGAGCTGCAGACAAGCAGGGAAAAAAAGAAGAAAACATCTGGTTTATTTTCCTGTTGGGACAACTGATTGTTAAAATAAATGTTCTTTTAGAACATTTATTTGAAGAAAAAAAATTCTAAAATACTCCTTGAAGATGGTAATTGTAATAAATACTGCTGTTGCTTGAATTACAATCACAAAACAAATGTTATACTTTTTTTATTGTCCTAGAAACATTACAAAAAAAAAAAAAAAAGAGTCATTTATTTGTGCGTACCTTATCGGTGCGCCCTTGGCTTGTGCTGGTTTAAGCAGGACAGTGATGGTTGTTGCAGTCTCATTTAGAAACGCCTCGGAGCCGTCGTACTCATCAATTGTAGGGGCTGAAAAAATACACACCGTGGTATAAGAGTACACGCAGGAGAGTATTTTTAACAATAAAAAAAAACCTGAAATCACAGGTATGGGCTCCACCTGAAATATTCGTCGTCACGTTTAACGTGGTTGCCGGACCGAAGCCTTTGGAAGTGGACGCTCGTATGGTGAGATGGTACGTTACCCCCGGGTGGAGTTGTGAAAACAGGTGGTGGGTGGCGTTGGGGGGCAGAGACGCTGTGAGGCCCGGCCGCTGCAGCGGCACCGTGGGGTCGAAGGAGCGTACTGCGATGTAGTTGATCTGTCGTGAGGCAGAAAAACAAGTTAAAAAAGTGTCGTTGTCGTCGTCGTCGTTGGTCCTGTGACAGCTCCGACCACCGGTACAAATGTTAGTACCTCATACTGTATAATGACTCCGTTGGGTTCTGTGGGTTCCTTCCAGTAGAGAAGAATTCTGTCTTCAAATGGAGTGGCTTTTAGTGACTGACTGGGAACCGAGCCTGGAACTGTTTCAAAACAAAATAATAACTGAAACTCAACCTCTGTTCAAAACAAAATGCTTCAACAGAAGAACTGAGAAAAACTACAAAACAAAACATGAAGATGAACATTAACGTTTCTCCAAAAGAAAATCTTTAACAGTAAAATGGAAAAGCTTCACCAAAAACAGCTGTCGGTGTGGGTTCAAGACCCAGACGGTCTTTAAACCTTTAAGCCTCAGGAAAATCTAAGCTATCCCTTAGCTATGCTGCTGAAGGCGTAGGCCGCTGGAGATACTCCCATGGTGCATTGTATCCCTGTTTGCAGCAGCAGCCGATCCAGAGGAATGTTTTTGTTTTTTTTTAGTATTTAACTGTTGATCGTACCATCTTCATCCGTCTGAATCACTGTCTCGTCACTCTCTTTGCGTCCCTCTGGGTTGGTGAGAATCATCTTCAGACTGACGTTAGTGTACGGCGGCAGATTCCCCACTATGTGGCGTGGAGCTACAAAAGACAGCACAATCAAACAATCCTTTTTTTTTTTTGCAAAAACGGTTGTCATTTTAGACACATTCCTCAGATAAATGACAGAGTTTACAGCCACACTGAGCGACATGTCAACGACGACGTCTTCTTTTTTCATTTTCACGTTTATGGAACTCATAAAAACAGTCTTACCTTTAGGGTCCATGTCCAAACAGTCGGCCTTGCTGCGATTGTTGGCCGTCATGTAGTGGTAACAGATGGTGACGTTGAAGGTGTGACAGCGCGTGATGTTGTAACCCAGCGACTCCCAGTCCACCGCTATCAGACGAGACCTCGTCTCGGCGATCTTCAGCCTCTTGGGAGTCCGCATCGGTTCTACAGAAACAGAGAGGAGAACGCGTGACTTCTGTGCACTGCGGTGTTGCAGTGAAAGTGCCGATGGTGCAGTTTTCACAGTTTACATTTGCATTTTAAAAGCATTTACTTCTACTCCACGCCACGAGTAACAGGTCGTAGGAGGCAGATCATTGATTTCCATCTTTAATGCGTAATCAGAACCGTTACTGTCGATACAGTTCTCTCCTCTGTTCGCCTGGGGTTTTAATTACCTCAAATGGCTCATTTAACCGGATCAAAAGGCTCTCACCAACCCTACATCACAACGCCGCCGCCGCTGCGGCCGCGGCCGACCACACGCCTTAGCATTTGGATGTAAATGGACACATATGTTCCAGCACCACGAGTGGGTTCCCTGATCATTAGACGGGACTGTAAGCTCGGAGATAACTTCTCAGGCCTGCTTGGCTTTCCATCTGCCGGCAGGAACGGCGCCGCTCTGGTGGAACGCAATTATCTTAGGCGGCCAATCAATGGCTGCAGAAGAGCTACGACAAGAGGTGCAGATCTTTCTCCAGCTTGAACAGGTATTACTCAATCCAGACGGGCCACACGGCGCCATCTGGTGACCACGCAGAAGTTCTTACTTCCCCTTTAAAAAAAAAAAATACAATTTTTACAGAATTGTAAATTGGTCTTAGGATGGCTGTAAAAATACAGCACATTTATGACGACGATGATAGTTTTATGAAGGGAAAAACCACAGCCACGTTTTTGTGCTGCTCAAGGCTAACGCAAAAATTCTCAGAATTATTTTGCCTTTGCAAAGAAGGTTGTTGTTTTCAGTGTTAAATAAATATGGAAAATAAAAGTGTGGACTTTAACGTAGAGCTGGTAAATTGTTTTTTAGTTAATAACAAAACTACTAACCAAACTCACAACTACTTTCCTGGGACTAGCACTCTGAGCGACCGACCAGGTTTAATGTTGTTGTTTAATGTTAAATGACACTTTAATGTGAACCAAGGTCAGACTTTAAAACGCTGAGTCTTGTCATAAACTAACAGGACCTCAATAATGTGGTCGTTTTACTAACGCATCATATTCTGTAAGTCCCATAGTCCCTTCCTTCTGTCCTTTCTCTCCTTCCTTTTGTCATTCCTTCCTTCCTTCATTCATTCTGTCCTTCCTTCCTTCTTTCTTTCCTTCCTTCCTTCCTTTCCTTCCTTCCTCTCCTTCCTTCCTTCCTTCTGTCCTTCCTTCCTTCTTTCCTTCCTTTCCTTCCTTCCTTCCTCTCCTTCCTTCCTTCTGTCCTTCCTTCCTTCCTTCCTTCCTTAATAAAACCCCTCATCGTCTTTGCTCATTTTCCTGTTCCTCACTGGATTCCTTCCTTCTCCACGGAGACAACACAAGGACACAAACTTGTCGCTTCTTCTGACAGCCCATTATCTGCCCGTCACTCACACACACACACACACACATGCACACACAGGGCTCTAGGTTGTGACCAAATTAAGATTAAATCTGAGCAGAGCATGTATAGGTGTTTATGGCTCTGTGTGTGTGTGTGTGTGTGTGTGTGTCAATAAGGAGTCACAGTCAAGGGCACCTGCATACACACTGACTGGACCACGGGGCTGAATACAGATCTGTTCAGGTTCAGTCATTTAGACTAAGAAAGAGACACGAAGAGGAAAAAGAAAGAAAAGAAACGAGGAGGAAGAGGAGGAAGAAGAGGAGGAGGAGGAGGAGGTGAGAGGAAGGTTGTTCAGAAACCCGGGCAGGTAATTGTCTGTGGAGCCGCTGCACAAATGTTATCGACTCCTCGACTGTGTGTGTGTGTGTGTGTGTGTTAATGGCTGCGAGGTCGGAGCATTTCATTTTTGCCCCAACCTGTTATTAGATAGTTGACATTTAAATAGCACGTGAGAGAGAGAGAGAGAGAGAGAGAGAGCGAGAGAGAGGGGGGGGGGGCGCCCCTTTACTCATGTGGGTCTCTCTCTCTCTCTCTCTCTCAGCCTGTTCAAATCAATACTTGTGATTCTCATCATAAAGCTGGCTATTAGGGACACACACACACACACACACACACACACACAGGGGCAGTCTAATAAAGAGTATTGATCTCAGGGTCTCTGGATGATAAGCGTGCTGAAAACTGACGGTCCTCAATGTGGAATTAAAACCAAATGTATGATTAGCTGTCAGTGGACGGCCATGAGGAAAGAAGGAAGGAAGGAAAGAAGGAAAGGAAGAAAGAAAGAAAGAAAAAAAAAAGAAAGAAAGAAAAAAGAAAGAAAGAAAGAAAGAAAAAAGAAAGAAGGAAGGAAGGAAGGCAGGAAGGAAGGAAGGAAAGGAAGGAAGGAAGAAAGAAGGAAGGAAGGAAAGAAGGAAAGGAAGAAAGAAAGAAAGAAAAAAAAAAGAAAGAAAGAAAACAGAAAGAAAGAAAGGAAGAAAGGAAGAAAGGAAGAAAGGAAGGAAGAAGGAAGGAAAGAAGGAAAGGAAGAAAGAAAGAAAGGAGGGTAAAAAAATGCAGCAGAGAAATTAGGAAAATGACAGCAGTCGGGGCTGATGAGAGTGAAGCGGCAGTGAGAAATGACAGAGTGAACAGGCAGAGGCAGAGAGTGAGGAGAGGGAATGGCAAAAGAGGATAACA